CCCGTACTGGACCGGGGACCGGTAACGGGATCACAACCCTCGGTGTTGCTCCCGCACCTCGCTCAGCCAGTGAGCGGCCGGTCTGTATGTGGGATCCGAACCCTCAGCGGGAGTGCCGCGGCGCTCCCAAGCGGCGCACTGTAGCAGTGCGCCACCGGGCCGGCCCCGGAAAACTTGTTTTTCTTATGCTTGACAGATCACATGTTGCATCATACTACATGGTTTTGGTTTTGGCATGTGGATTTTCTCATCAGCAGTGAGTGCTATTGTAGAGAGTTTTTGAATTCTCTTTTTTATACTAACACTTGATCTCCAAAATACCACTGATAAAAGAACTGAAACACTCAATAATCGCATTGTAATCTCTTATCAAATTTGTGCTTAGGTCATGGTAGCAGTGGGTCAGAACAGACTGTCATTTCCTTATCTGCAGAAGATTATTCTCATTTAGAGTTTGGTCACCTAAATATGTGATAACTCAGGAGAAATTATTTTCTGAGAATTTCTTTGATTATTTTTTCTAGAGGACTTAGTAAATTACTCCTCTCTCCCCTAAACCTTTTTAAAAAAAAAAAAATTTTTCCTTTTATTACACTGGATTTTTGGTAGGATAGGGAAAGAATGGTAGAGAAGCTTTATGCTAAACCTTTTTTTTTAAAAAAAAATTTTCCTTTTATTACACTGGATTTTTGGTAGGATAGGGAAAGAATGGTAGAGAAGCTTTATGGTCTAGTCCTCATGTTAACAGACACTGAGTGCTTACTGCTGGTTGAGGGGCAATGTTTTAAATAGCAGACACAAATAAGTGAATAGGATTGTACCAAATTCACTGTTTCTAAATGTAGCAACTAGAACCATATTGAATATAAAAATATAATCATAGATTTTTCTGTTTCCCTCACATTTTCCTAATCTTCAACTTTGCAAACTTATACAAAACAGTAATAACAGGCTTATATTTCCATTTGAGAGTTTATAGAGTTATACGTAAACCTTGACTCATTTATTTAGCTTTTTAAACGCAACTTTAGTTTCGAATTTGGATATGTTTAGGTATGCTGATATTTTTAAGCAGTTCAGATGAAAGGAGAGATATACTAATTAAAACCTGATGATGAGACTTTATAAGGTAGCCTGTTTTCCACTCTGCCAGCTGTCGTCTGGCTGATCCTTCATGCCTTGCAAATGGTACCTGGGCTTTGCTTCTTTGCTCTTAGGCCACTGTCTGCCTGGTTCCTTCCTGGCTTTTTGGGGGGACATAAATTGGAAAGGTAATTTGTTTTAAGGCTTAAATAGAAAGTCCCATCTTGGTGTTAGGGGAGGAAAAAACTAAGACTGGGATTGAGCTGAAACTGCCCACAGTCTGGGGAGAAACCTGCAAGATGATGTCGAATGGACACTTGATGCTTTTCCATGATACATGGTTCATTCCCTGGTAATCAAGTTTACTCACATTGTCAGCCCACAGTATCTGATTTAAAAAAAAGTTTTCTCTGAGGCTATATTGGATCCTGTCTTTTGTCCTCATTTATGTGTTTGTTCCTAAGGTGATCTGTACCAATTGCGAAAAAAAGGGAGCTGGGGTTTTATGTTCGGGGGACTTGGAATCTTGTCCTGATGGTTTTTTCTGGGTGTTCAGATGCTGTGGGAGGCAGAATAACAGCCCCCCTGATTATAGCTAAGAAGTGGCACAAACTTAGCCAAAGGAAGGCTTTGTTAAAATCTGTGTTGGGCCATGTTAACCCTTTGTTAAGTTAGAGACTTTAATAGGCTTCGACAGAACAATTCCTCATGTTCAATCAGGGTCTTGAGATTGGCATTTTCTATTAATGGGCTTTGTCTAGAAATAAGTGGCTATTCTAAAATGGTGAATAATATTGTTTGCCAAAGCCTCAGCCTCCAAGACCCGCGACATGTCATTTACTTTTGAAGGCACTTTTAGAGCAGGCCTAGCCCTCTCTTCAACATCTCCCTCCCCTGCCCTTTGTACATTTGCTGCTCTCCCTGGGAAGAACTGCAGAGGAAGCTGGTGCCCTGTGAAATACAGATCCTGCTTATGATCAGAGTCCTTTTTATTTAAATCAAGATATAATTTGCATACCATAAAATTCACCCTTTTATCATCACCGCACTCTCCCAAGTGAGCCACAGGTCAGCCCAAAATTCACCCTTTTAAACTATACAGTTTGATGGTTTAGTATATTCGGGAAGGTTGTGTAAACTATTAGCACAATCTAATTCCAGAACATTTTTATTACACCAAAAAGAAGCCCTGTGCCCTGAGCAGTCATTCCCCGTTTCCCCAGCCACCACTACTCCACTGTCTATCTTAAAGTTTTTTTAAAAAATTACACCAAAACCTGGTTGTCCCTATAACATAATCGTTAGATGAAATGGGGTGGGGAAGGTACACAAATCAACTTCTTAGGGTTTATTTTTAGCTTCTCACAAGAGTAAGCTTGTTGCCTTTTATTTTCAACTTGTCACTTCTTCTAGGCCCCCACATAGAGGGGAAGGTGGTCTACCAAGCCTCTCAGTCCGGTTCCCTTTTTCTGCTTATGATTAAATTACCAATCTTTTAAGATATTGTATATGTAACAATGTGCAAGAAGTTGAGTCTGACCTGATAGTGAAATCAATTTATGGCAAACACCTGGTTGAATTCTAAGTCCAGAATCACCAGCAAAAGCGTTAATTTCTCTCAACCTTTTTGTTCTATAACTTTTAGAATAATCAGAATTCAAATCATATAGGACTGTCAAAACCAGATAAACAGGTAGCTTGAACAGATCACAGGCTTGAATATATGTGTCAAATATGCCTTAAATAAGTACTTTGGATTCTTGCCCATTGCACTAGTCTGAGATCTTCAGTTTGTGATTTTGGAAGACAAGTGAGGATTGATAAAAAGGGGGGGAGAGGTAGTACTCCTCAGCAGTTTTCCTTGACTCTAGAGGAAAGAGTAAGACATTGAGAAGTGCTAATGAAATATGAGGTGTGTAAGGGAACCTGGGAGACCTAGGGCCTACTTACCGGGTGCTCTTGGCTAGTAATATAAACTTATTAGTTGATGTGCTCTTTGTTGCTCAACTCTCTTGAACTGTTCCAGAGAGTTCTTAAGGAGCTTTGGGTGGTGGATCTTTTCCCAAAGTTTCTGTCATTTGTGTAGTTCTGTTTTTCAGTCCAAGTACTACGTGTGGCTCTCCTTTGTAGAACTGCTTGGTGGGCACTTTCAGGGACCAGCATACTTCCTCTTAGGGACACAGTGATGGAGAGCAGGGAGCATGAGCTCCACAGAAACCAGGGACGGTAGAGTGTGGGTGTTGGGGAAACTGGCAACTGTGTACAGAAATCTAAACTGCCAGAGCTGGGAGTGGTTGTCAGACCTTTTTACAGTAAAAGTTGGTCATTGTTTAATTTGGGTGCCCTTTTGTCTCCTGCCTTGTCTTGTATTATTATAGGTGACAGGTGCTGAGTCTTAGAGTTCATGTAGCTCTCCCTCCTTCGACTTGGCAGTTAAAACAGGAATGCATTATTTGGGATAAATGCATCAAAACATTAAGGCTTAAAAAGTGCTTTGAATAGAGTTGAGTCCATTTGAAACAAGGATGCTCTTTCTGATAAAACAGGAATGCATTATTTGGGATAAATGCATCAAAACGTTAAGGCTTAAAAAGTGCTTTGAATAGAGTTGAGTCCATTTGAAACAAGGATGCTCTTTCTGAAAAGATTAATTTCCTTCAAGGATGGTTAGGTTTTTCTGTTGAGTCCATTAAAACATTTTGGGAGAGGGGACGGAAGAAGAGGATCTACAGAAGAATATTTTTATCTTCATTGAATTATGCCTGACCCCCCTTTTCTTCTATGTTTTTCAAATTCAGTCATGCCTTTTCGTGCCTTCATTCCCCAAAAATTCCCGGTAGAGAAATAATTTAGAAAATGAAACTTCCCTCACCTGTACTTACTCTTCAATCCCTAGATTCCCACTACTTTGTAATAATTACTTTTTTAGCCATTGGTGTATTTCCTTCTAGTAATGATTCAGTGAACATATAAATGTGTCCATGTGTATCTGCATTGCTTTTTTAATGGCATATCCAAACCCTTTCAGTAACATCCTGAAGAGGTGATGTGATTTACTCTTAAGTGAGTTGAACTTATCTGCTTCAGTAAAAAATGTTACCCAGTGCTGATCTGGCCGTCACATCTTGGGCATGAGTGGTGACAGTCAGCTTTGTAATCCAGGAATATTCATAACCAATTAAAAAAAAAAGTTGCCCAGATATTTTAACTATAAACCTTTGAGATGTAGTGGCATGAGAGAATTATTATGAACTGATGTACATACCATAGGATTAAACCTGTCTGCTATATGAGAAGGAACTTTCTGTATTCTGGTATTGATTTGGGATTGCTTCATAAAAACTGCAATATTGCTAATTTCTTTGAAATGTCACTTTAAAAAGAAGGGCCATAATAGTACAGGGAGGCTCTTTGGGGTAATAGTAAGATTCACTTTTATGACAAGGGCTGAATTCCTCTGTTTTGTGCTTCTTAAGGTGTGTTGGTTCACAGCTCAGACTAGAGCTCTAATTCACATGGGTACCCTTTATGGAAATAAGAACTACATTTCAATCAATAAATTTCCTGTTTCCTTACCATGTGTTTTTGTTTTGTTCTCTTAATTTTTTTTAAAAACAGCAAGCCAGGGCTGAGCAAGAAGAAGAATTCATCAGTAACACGTTGTTCAAGAAAATTCAGGCTTTGCAGAAGGAGAAAGAAACCCTTGCTGTAAATTATGAGAAAGAAGAAGAGTTCCTCACTAATGAGCTCTCCAGAAAATTGATGCAGGTAAATTATGTTTGCTACCCTCTCATCTTCCATGCCTATTTTCCTCTCAAGGAAGAAATAACATTGACATAGCACTTTGTGTGAAACATTTGCTGATGAGGTTGTATCTAATGTTCTTTGGAGATTGAAAACATCAGGTAAGGATGGCAGCAGTGTGATACTCAAGACTGGTTTCATAGCTCATCTGTTTGGGTAAGGTAAGATATTTTGTTCCCTATATTAGTCTGTTTCTGTTGCTTATAACAAAATGTCTGGAACTGGGTAATTTGTAAGAAAACAAAACTTATTGTTTACAGTTTTGGAGGCTGGGAAGTCCAACGACCAGGGAACACATCTTGTGATGGTCTTCCTTGGTGGTGGCTTTACAGCTATATGGGGGTCTCACATGGCAGAAAATGGCAGAGTAGAGAAAGAGAGATGCTCATGTGCTGTCCTTCTAAAGCCCTCAGAACCACACCCCTGACCACCATTATTAATCCATTCATTATGGCATGGTCTTATGATCTAATCACCACTTCAAGGCCCCACCTTTCGGTTACTGTGATAGGGTTTCCCACCCTCAACAGTTACAGTGAGAATTAAGCTTCTAGTATATGGATTTGGGGGGACACAATTCAGTCAATCCACAGCATACTCTAAGCATTTCAGAAAATTGCTGATGAGCATGAGGCTTTAGCGTAGGAGACATAGTATGTAGCATTTTGGAAATATGGGGATTAACACCATGTGAGATTTCTTTCTCTTATGTTGAATCTATAATGAATACATAAACATTTTGGCAGTCATAAATGGGTTTTTTGCACCAAAATATGAAGATATAAAGTGAAATTTCTTTAGGAAAAAAGTATCGGTAATAGTTAAAATTATACAAAATCAACCATGTTCAAATGGGTGACTAATATGTCACTGAACAGATATCAGACTGCTATTAAAACTTAATATTAATTACTAATAATATGTGGAAGATACCAGTCAAAACATAGGAAGGTTTGATTTCTCTAGTTCAGGTATTCAACACCCCTCCTCCTTTTTTTTCCTTCAAAGCTTACTATAAAGTATAAAAGTAAAATTTATTAGGGGAAATAGTTTGCAGATTACTTAGTACAAACTTAAGAATAAGTGAGATATTGAGTTTTTATTATTTAACACAGCTTGTCCAAAATAGTGAGCAGGAATAAAATTATCACAAGAAGAGCATTATTCCCATTTTGTCCTTAAATTTCTATGAAAGAACCATCCCCCCCCCCTTTTTAATTCACCAGCATCGCTAACAATTTCATTCATTAATTTGGTTGAAATATATATTTTAGTGAGGTTATAATAAGATGTTTGTGGCTTTTAAAGAAACCTCCTAAATTCTTTTCTTTTTTTTTTTTTTTGTGACCGGTAAGGGGATCATAACCCTTGGCTTGGTGTTGCCCGCACCGCGGTCAGCCAGTGAGCGCACCAGCCATTCCTATATAGGATCCGAACCCGCGGCCTCGGCACTCCCAGTGCTGCACTCTCCCGAGTGAGCTTCGGGGTCGGCCCCCTAAATTCTTTTCTTACCTCTCCACATAGACGAGGAATCTTGTAAGAGGATACTGGAAGATTTGCTATAGAAACTTTGGTGTTAAAACTATACAGTGGTCCAGGCAACTTTCACCTCTGTCTTTCTTTTATTCTCATTTTTCTCCCTAATTACTAGATAAAGATACTGTTAGTCTTGCACAAAAAATGTTAAGAAGAGGTACCCAGGCTTTATTGTCTAGCAGAGATTTATGGTAAAATTGTTGCACCATAACTTTTTCTTTATTCATTTTAGCGAAAAAAGGAGGGAGAAGGTTAGTTTGACTTTTGACTGCATATCTCACCTTGACAGCATTAGATGACTTATTCTGCATGGTGCTTCTAGAAATATAGGGATACAATTATGGTTTGTTTTCCCAGTTTTGTGTGTAATCAGATGCCCTACTTTTTAACACTACAAAAAACATTTTTCCCCCCAACTTACATAGTTTTTAGTATTTGGGGTCTTTGAGCAAAGTACATTATGAAACAGTCAAACCCTAGCCAGGTTATGTTCCTCTTCTCTATAAAGATTTATCTCTACTGTGAGTGGTTACATAATTTATTATTGGCCTCTCTTTCACTTATCATATCCCACTAATTTCCAAGGACATTGATGTCCAAAACAAGATACTAAAAAAGAATGAAAACACAAGAGCCATGTACAACAAAAAAGGAAGTTTGTTATAGTAATACGCTTTCCATAAGAAGGATTAAATTCAAAATTTAAGCTCTGAGCAGCCTATAAATAATACTATATAACCTGAAAAAATGTAGTGGTTGTTTTTTTCATAATTCTTATATATTAAAAAAAATGATTCTACTTGGTCAGGAAAAAAAACTTTATATATTAAAAACTTAGAAAATTTTTTTCATGGGTGGGGTGGGATCAGGTAGATCTTTCTAAAGGGCTTGAATAGTACATAAAGCAAACAACATAATAAACTGTTTTTGCCCAAAGTAGTATATAATGTGTAGCCTTAGTCTTCATGTGGCCATGTCTCATGTTTGCCCTCAGTCAAAACAAAGCGTATATTATGAAGGAGTGATTCTGTGAAGACATTGTTTACAGAGCCCTAGATGGGTCTGTAGCTCGTGGGTGATCCAACTGGTAGAATCTAGACTAACAGTTGGTTAGCATGTCCCTGAGACACTCTCATGAATCCCAGCTTGGCGTTTAGGCTTTTATTTATAAATATTGTGGTAAAATATACATAACATAAAATTTACTGTTTTGGCCATTTTTGAATGTACAATTCAGTGGCATTAGTTACATTCACATTGTTGTGCAACCATCAGCACCATCCATCTCCAGAACTTTTTCAAACTGAAACTCTGCACCCATTAAACAATAACACCCGATTCCCTTTTCCTGATCCTTAGGCTTTTATTTTATTTTATTTTTATTTTTACTTTTTTTCCTTTTTGTCTTTTTTCGTGTCCGGCAACGGATCGCAACCCTCAGTGTCGCGCCTGTACCGGACCGGGACCGGCAACGGGATCGCAACCCTTGGTGTTGCGCCCACACCTCGCTCAGCCAGTGAGCGGGAACCGGTCTGTATGTGGAATCCGAACCCTCAGCGGGAGCGCCACCACGCTCCCAAGCGGCGCACTGTAGCAGTGCGCCACCGGGCCAGCGCTCCTTAGGCTTTTAAAAGGAGACGGACAGCAGGTAGTTTGAGGTTCAGGTCTCTGGTAAGTTCTCGAGCTTTGTCTATTCTGTGGCATGATGGATGATCTGTGTCTTTAAATACTAGGTCTCACAACATGCTCATTTTGTGCTAAATACCCAAGAACTTATTCTCTATTGTTGACTAGCTGGAGAGATCTCATAGCTGCAGGGGGGACGGACTGTTAGCTTATGATACTGCCAGGCTCCCAGTATATATTTCCTTAGTGTTTTCCACTGGTAGTTTGTTGAATGCTGACATTTTCTGCCACCCAGTGTGGAAGTACTGCTTTCCATCTGGAAGATTTTTAGAGTAATTGATACCAATAGACTTTTCTAACTATATAATTACTTTAATATGGCTTTTTAGGATGTTTGCTTCTGGCTAGGACCTTGTTACAAAAAGTCTGCTAAGAGAAACCACACTGCAGGTGTCACCATTAGATAAATGGATGAATTGACCTGTTCACTGTGAAAGTGTTTAGCATTTTTCATCCAAAGGTCACTGAGAGGCTATTTACAGAACAGTTTTGGTTTTGTCACAGTACTTTGGCTGTTATCTCTGAAAGTAATTGGACAGTGCTTTTATGTGCATTTCTAAGGGATTCTTTGATCCTGAGAACAAAATGAGAATATTGCTATAGAGGAGGCATGTCCTTTCCTATCTGCCTTGGCTAAGCTGGTATCCAGTACTTTTAAATTCAAGTTTACTTAAGTGTAGATGAGAAGAAATCCCTTTGCCCTTTGGAAGATCAAGTTTGGGAGATAGCTTAAACACCTTTAGACATGTTAATACTCACTCAAACAAAAACACACACAAAAGAGAGCATGGAGCTTTGCTCCCTTGTGTTTGTGTGTCTACAATAGACAGACACAATATTGTATCTTCATTTTGTGGAAACTCTTGTCTGAAAAATCTACATCATTCTGAGCTCAGACTGTGACTGGTGAGAACTTGTCCTAAAAAGAACCCTCTAATACTTTGGTAAGTCAGGCACAAACCAAACCTATTGTCAAAGAAAGTTACAACAAATTTAGTTAACGATCTCAATTGGCTTTATTGCAATTCTAGAATTGGGCAATGTGTTGTTCTATAAAATAGAAAACATGTTCCGGTGAGCCCAGTGGAGGAGATTGATTTTTACAGACAGAACAAGGCTGAAGAAAGCAGAAACAAAGACCAAAAAGTAGGTTGATTATTTCAAAGTTACTCCTTGTAAAGTAGAAGACAAGAAGACAGAACAATAGAAAAATCACTGACTAGTTAATATCAGGTTACTTCAGGCCATCTCTTGTGTAAGGATTATCATACCTATTGAAGATTAAAACCGGCCTGTTTGGGAAGTTGGTTGTTGTCTTTCTCTCCTGACTTCTGGGAAGGTCAGATCACAACCTGAGTGATGTGGAACTTAGCAGGGGTGACTCCATTTTTATTTTTAGTCTGGTCTGTTGGGGTTTAGTGTAGGAACTTAGTCCAAAACAGTGGCCTCCGATAATTTTTATTTAACACTACATTGGAGCCAAATTCTGCTCTAGAATGCTTTGAAGAGAGGTTGTATTTTAATCATTACTTGGAATTAAAATTTACAGTTTCCAAGAAATGTTTTGTGAGCATCAGAATTTGATATAAAACATGTATGTTAGAAGAAAAAAGTCTAAAACGCTATTCTCTAAAATGTTATCAGTAATTACACTTGGATGCTGATCTTACAAGTTATGTTAACTTTCTTTATGCCCCTTCAAATTTTGTAAAAGCGACATGCATTACTTTTGTAACTAGAAA